CTTTTTTCTAGAATTTTGTATAAATGTATTATATAGTATATACTCTTTGTGGCTTCTTTGACTCAGCATAATTATTTTGAGATTTATCCATGTTGATGGGTGTATACAATCATTCTTTTTTTTTTTTTTTGAGAATATTGTATACTACAGGTTTATCCATTCACCAGTTGATGAATTCTTTCAGTTTTTGTCTCTATGTTAAAAGAAAAACTTTACACAATGTAAATGTAGCAGAATTTATTTGAGCGAAGAATGATACATGAATTGGGCAGCACTCAACCAGAAAAGGTTCAGAGAGCTGTGCTGTGCAACCTGGGCAGTAAGTGTAGACAGAAAAGAGAAGCAAGTACGTATATAGATTGATTAGTTAACAGCTCCTCTTTTGCCTTATTTGAACATGGTCTGATCAGTTGGCAGCCTGTGGTTGACGGAAGCTTGGCTGCTTGTGATTTGCTGAGATTCAGCTGTTTACTGTCTTCTTTTGAGAAGTGTCTGTTGGGTCCTTTGCCCATTTTTTGATTAAGTTGTTTTCTTGCTATTCAGTTTGAGTTCCTTGTATATTTTGGATTTGGATATTAGCCCTTTATCAGATATATGATTTTTAAACATTTTCTCTCAATCTGTGGATTGTCTCTTCAATCTATTAATTGTTTCCTTTGCTGTGCAGAAGCTTTTTAGTTGATGCAGTCCTGTTTATTTTTGCCTTTGTTGCCTGTCATATTTGGGGTTATATCTAAAAAAAAATCTAAAAATTGCTCAGACCAATGTCTTGTAACTATTTTCCTATGTTTTCTTCTAGTAGTTCGACAGTTTCAGGTCTTACATTTAAGTTTTTAATCCATTTTGAGTTGATTTTTGTATATGTTGTGATTTAATGGTCCAATTTTATTATTTTGCTTGTGGGCATCCAGTTTTCCCAGCATGATTTACAGTAGTCTCACCTTATCTGTGGTTTTGCATTCTGCAGTTTGAGTTAAACTTGATCAACCATGATCTGAAAATAGTGTATGGAAAATTCCAGAAAACAAACAATTCTTAAGTTTTAAGTTATGTGCCATCCTGAGTAGTGTGATGAAATCTTGTGCCATCCTGCCTTGTTCTGCCTGGGAAGTGAATCATCACTTGTCCAGCATATCCATGCTGTATATGCTACCTGCTTATTAGTCACTTAGTAGCTGTCTAGTTTATCAGATTGAATAAACATAGTATATCTAGGGTTCCTGTCCGCAGGGGGTCTTGGAACGTATCCCTCACAGATAAGGGGAGACTACTGTATTGAAGAGACTGTCCTTTCTCTGTTGTGTGTTTTTGGTAATTTTGTTGAAAGCCAGTTGACCATAATTTGTAGGTTTATTTCTGGGCTTTCTATCCTGTTCTGTTGGTCAGTGTTTCTGTTTTTATGCCAGTACATTCTGTATTGATTACTATAGCTTTGTAGTAGATTTTGAAGCTAGGTAGTGTGATGCCTCCAGCTTTGTTTTGCTCAAGATTGCTTTGTCTGTTTGACGTCTTTTGTGGTTTTATATGAAGTTTAGGATTCTTTTTTCTATTTATGTGAAAAACAACATTGGAATTTTGATAGAGATTGCATTGAATCTGTAAATTGCTTTGGGTACTGTAGACATTTTAACAATATTAATGATTCCAATCCCTGAACATGGGATACCATTACATTTATTTGTATTGTCTACAGTTTCTTCCATCAATATTTTACAGTTTTCAGCATACAGATCTTTCACCTCCTTGGTTAACTTTACTCCTAAATATATATACTCTTTGGAGGCTCTTGTGAATAGAATTGATTTCTTAATTTTTTTTCAAGATTATCAGTTGTTAGTGTAAAGAAATGCTACTGATTTTTGTCTGTTGATTTTGTACCCTGCAACTTTACTTCGTTTATCAGTTCTAACAGTTTTTTGGTGGAATCTTTAGGGTTTTCTACATATAAGATAATGTCGTCAGCAAACATACAATTTCTCTTCTTCCTTTTCTTTCTTTTTTTTTTTTTTTTAAGTCGGAGCCTTGCTCTGTCACCCAGGCTGAGTGCAGTGGTGCGGATCTCGGCTCACTGCAAGCTCCGCCTCCCAGGTTCACACCATTCTCCTGCCTCAGCCTCCCGAGTAGCTGGGACTACAGGTGCCCGCCACCACGCCTGGCTGATTTTTTGTATTTTTAGTGGAGAGAGGGTTTCACCATGTTAGCCAGGATGGTCTTGATCTCCTGACATCGTGATCTGCCCACTTCGGCCTCCCGAAGTGCTGGGATTACAGGCGTGAGCCACCGCACCTGGCCCCTCTCTTCTTCCTTTTCTATTTGGATGCCTTTTATTTCTGAGGCTTATCTTTCATTCTGTTAATAGTGTCTTACAGATAGCAGAAATTAGTATTTGAATGAAATTACTACTTTGTCTTTTTTAAGTGGATTATGCTTTTGTGTTTTAGTTTACTAATCTTTGCCTAAGATAAGGCCACAAAGATTTTATGGAAGTTTTATGGTTTTACCTTTAGGTCTGTGATTGATTTTGAGTTAATTTTGGCGTGCAGTATGAATATTCAGTTGTTCCAGCTTCATTTGCTGAGAAAGCTGTCCTGTCTCTACTGGACTGCCTTTGTACCCTTACGGAAAATAAGTTGACCACATGTGTGTAGTTGTATTTCTGGACTCTCAGTCTTGTTGTATTAACCTGTTAAGTCTCTCCACATGCTAGTACAATGTTTTTGTAGCTTTATAATAAACCTTATATTCTGGTTGTATAAGGCTTCCAAAATTTTTGCCCTTTTTAAAAGCCATTTTGATTGATCTAGCTCTTTGACATTTCCATATGATTTTATTTAATTAATTTATTTTATTTATTTTGAGGCAGAGTCTCACTCTGTTACCCTGACTGTAGTGCAGTGACATGATCTTGGCTCACTGCAACCTCTGTCTCCTGCGTTTAAGTGATCCTCCTGCCTCAGCCTTTCAAGTAGCTGGAATTACAGGTGTGCACCACCACGCCTGACTAAACTGTAGGATTTTGGAATAAACATGCCAGTTTCTTCTACAAAAAGGTCAGCTGGGATTTTTATTAGAATTGTGTTGACTGTATTGATCAAATTGGGGAGAATTGACATGTTAACATCATTGACTTCACTGATCTAGGAACATAATATTACTCTCTGTTTTTGCACATAATTTGATAATTTCTTCATAATTCATATTTTTATACTACAAATGAAATTATTTTTTAAATGATTGTCCTTTTTTTTTTTCTTTCTTTTTTTTTGGAGACAGGATCTGGCTGTGTTCTCGATGTTGGAGCTCAGTGGCACAATCATAACTCACTGTAACCTCGAACTCCTGGGCTCAAGTAATCCTCCCACCGCAGCCTCCTGAGTAGCTATGACTACAGGCATGCTGCGCCATGCCTGGTTAACTTAAAACATTTTTGTTGTTGTTGTTGAGACAGGGTCTCCCTAGGTATTTCAGGCTGGTCTTAAAATCCTGGCCACAAGCAGTCCTCCCATTCTGGCCTCCCAAAGTGCTGGGATTGTAGATACGAGCCACCGTGCCTGGCTTCTGATTATTCTTTGTACAGTTGTTCTATAGAAGTAGAATTGATTTTTGAGTATTAATCTTGATTTTTGAGTATTGATCCTGCAACCTTCCTAAACTTATTTATTCTGTTGATAGTAGTCTTTTGGTTTTCCTAATTTCATTATCAGAGTTAGCGTAGCCTGTTGGTTCACTGTCAGTTTAGAGTTGAAGAAATGTGTAAGTTTATAAAATGTAATATCAATGTCTTGCAAGGAGTGAGATGCAGCATCCCCAATGTTTTTCATTTTTCCTTTAATGAAATTCATTTTTCCTTTAATGAAGTACTAGTATTCCTCATAATATGAAACCTTGACACTTCAAGCTACCATTATTTAAGGTGTTAAATTTATAGGCAATTTCAGCAAAGTAATTGATTCTGAAGGATGAATTGCTCTTTGTTTTTATGGCTGGAATTCTAAGAATCTGTTCAAATTATGTATTTTGGAGGGAGAACCAATTGCCTTGGTGATGGCTCTGGGAGACAAGGGAGAGTATGTGGTAAGGACTTTATGTTTGTGGCTTGAGCGGAAGTTATGTGGATTATGGTGTGATTTATTGAGATGACGAAGACTGAGGAAGCAATGGATTTAGTATTGTCAGTTCAGGTTGGACATGTTAGATTTTCGGCATGTTTTGTCTACTGTGATAAGGCTTATAGGTTTATTTGGATGCTTTTAAATGAACTATATCTTAGGTTAAAAACAGACCTGAGGTCACACAACTAGTCGTTTGCAGAATTTGAACTCCAGCTTCTGACTCTTAGTCCATGTTTGTTATCGCCTTATGGTATATTATATCCTCCAGGCAGAAAAATATGCTTGGCTATGACAATAATAAAATGTTCTCTGGGAGCTGGTAGAAATACCTAGCAGAGTTTGCAAGCTCAGATGCCTGCATGGTACAGACAAGTAACTGTGAGCCAGGTTGTATTGTAAAGGAGAGTGGCGACTTCTGTGGAGAACTGCAAAGCCCCATCCACAGGGTTAGTTAGCTGCTAATCAGCTCCAGGAGATTGTTTCCATATGGGAATGTGGGGCCAGTATTGCTAGATATTCTGATTTTTCAAGAGAGGTCTGAAATCTGGATTTTCATGTAAAGTCCTGATTTATAAATGTAGGCAGTTATCCTTTAACCATGCAGACCAACCTAGTGTGGGTCCACCAAAGGTATCTGTCTGCTGGATTCTGCCCGGTGGGTAGATATACTGTGGAAGCAACAATAAATGTATATGGTGGGAAAAGTGTGGTAACTATGTATAATAAGCACATTATGGTGTTGAAATGCAGGTTGCTTAGGTTAAACATGGTGCTTAGTGAGTCTAGTGTTTGAGTTCAGTCTTTATATGGATCAGTTAATTATAGATGGGGGAGGGGGAATTGCTCTCTGTAGCTTTTTGCCTCCTAATTGCATACTTTCATTTGCAGATAGGGCCAGTTTTGAGTGTGTGAATTTTTGAGTGAAACCTGGAACCCAAATGAGAAGAAATCTGCAAGGAATAACTACTGACAGTGAATCTACAGAGTCATCTGTATGCATAATATGGAATGTTCTTAACCCAGAAGTAGCTGAATGTGTTATTCCATTGATGAGGAGTGGTAAGTCTGATTATCTCCACTGATAATTAAATAACCTAAACCCTTCCATAAAAAGAGGATGATTTCTTCTACATTCTTAGCATTTGCTGACGTTAATTTTTATATTACAGGGGAGGACAGCAGTGCAGTTTAAGGGAATTCTTTATCCCTAACACCATGTTTAATGTCTGATTTCAGAGTTTGGCTTTCTTCTTCCAGTTAGGCACATCCTTACCTTTGCCTAGGCATTTTTCTCTATTATTTTCTTCTTCAGTCCAAGGCCTGAAATATTGTATTTGAAATACTCAGCCAGCGCTGAAATGATGGTCATGATAGTTAGCAGCATCCATTCTAATCTTAGTTGTGGTAGGTCTCATTCTCTTTCGGAGTGATTGTTTTAGGAATGGACATGAGAAACAGTTTTGTCTGATGAGAGACAAAAGGGACATCTGCAAGAGGCTTTTGGGGAAATCTTTCTTGCTTTTGAGAAGAGGAAGAAAACAGATGGTCCCTCTTCTCCGCAGAGCTGATATTATCTGGATGTGATGTGTGTGGAAGTGCTGGAGCCATCTTTTTAGTAGCCTGAAGGTGATGCCTTATGTGAAGGAGGGAGAACCAAGGGAACTGGAGAAAAGTAGAACTAGAGTTCCATTTACCATGCCTATAGCCACTTTACCTGAATTGTCTTATTGTTTAAGCAGTTTTGCCTTGAGATTTCCTGTTATTTGCTATAGAAATTATTTAGATTTGATTTCTTCCTTTTTTGATTACCCAAAGCCATGTTTTTTAGTGTCACACACTTTTCTACTTGATCATGTTCTTTGTAACCCCTTACAAGCTTTATGAAGTCAAGGAGTATGTTTATATTCCTATTGTATCTGACTCTAATACTTCTTAATGATGTCATCAATACATGTTTGCTTAACTGAATTACTTGATAAGTGTTTGAAAAACCAATCCATAGAATCTAATAATTACAGAGATTTTTTTTTTTTAAAATTCACATTCTTTTCTTTAACCACACTGCTTCCCTCTAGGATTATGAGTGAAATTCGTTTTTTCTTTAAGACTTCCAGTATGTAACACATGTTTAAGTGGTTAGTTCTACTCCAGACAATATTGCCTTTTGTTTTTGTCCAACTTTACCATCCAAACCAGGTTCTCTCCTTCATGTTTGAGTATTGGCTTTCAATCTAATAAATGGAATTTCACTTTCTTCTTTATTGTAAAAACAGAATAGTTTGCCTTCTATTTTCTGTGATAACTATAGGAATGGGGGACATCAATAGTAAGAAGCATAATTCAGGAATAATTTGTATTTGGCTTTGGAATGCATATTCACAGAAAGATTCCTTAAAGTGTGCATCCCCACTCTGTTCTTAGGACTCAGTGTTTGGGGGAGGTGGGGGAAAGTTTGGCAGTGATGTATGTAATAAGAGGGATCTTGGGCCATAGGATAGATGATCTAGTTGCTTATGTTTTAAAGCTCTGTGAAACAAATCGCTTTTTTTTTTTTTTGGCTTGGCTCTAGATATAAATGTTTTCTTCTGTCTTTTCTTTTAAATCTTGTTATTATAATCTTGAAAAAGTATGGAATAAGAACCTCTTTTTCTTCTTGAAAATCTGTGGTGTTACTTTCAGTTGTGGTAAAAGGAAAAAGATAAAAAACCTGTGTTATGATTTTACCAGGTAATCTGGTAGTATATTTTGAATCCTTCAAAAAGAAATTTACATTCAGGGAAGAATTCACTTTTTTTTTTTTCTCTTGATGAATTCTGATGAAAATCTGGGAGAATACCTTTTTTTTCTTCTTCTTTTTTTGAGACAGGGTCTCACTCTGTTGCCCAGGCTGGAGTGTGATCTTGGCTCTTTGCCTATGTATTTGAGCCCAAGATGCTAGGAACCTCTGCCTCCTGGGCTCAAGTGATCCTTCTGTCTCAGCCTCCCAAGTAGCTGGGACTACAGTTGTGCACCACCATGCCCAGCCAGTTTATATTTTTTGTAGAGACAGGGTTTTACCATGTTGTCCAGGCTGGTCTTGAACTCCTGGGCTCAGGAGATCTACCTGCCTTGACCTCCCAAAGTGTAGGAATTGAAGGTGTGAGCCACCATGCCCAGCCAGGAGAATAACTTTTTAAGAAGATAGAGAAAGTTGTATGATGTGCTTTACCCATCAATTTAAATGCAGTAGTACCATTATTTAGTAATACAGGAAATTTAAATCATTAAGGTCAGCTTTAATGTGCTGTATTTCATATATATTTTGTTGGAATGGGACATGTTTCCTGTCTAAGGCAGTCATGGCAGGCATGCACCCTAAGCTAGATCAAGCAGAGTGAATCTTAGGATATTTGCTAGGAATGTTGAGGATATTTGCTAGGAATGCTGAGATGAAGTCACTTATGTTTTTGTGAATTTCAACCTGAAAACATAGTTATTGAATTCCTGGCAGCTATCTTTTGACCATGAAAGGAAAGCTAGTTGATTAAGAAGCCAACACAGAATGAGTAGAGCAAAGAAAAGCCATGCCCTAGTTACTCCATTTGAGCTGCCAGATCAACCCTTCCCTGAAGCTGCTGTACCTGTAAACTTACAGTTGCATGAGCCAGTAAATTTCATGTTTAATTCAACTGGCTTTGGATTTTCTCTTATATTTTTGTGAAAACATCCTAGCTGATACATCCTTCTCAACCCTCAATTATGCACCTGTATAATAAGAACTCAAGGGACTTATTAAAACTTGAATTGTGAGTTAGGCAGGGAGACCTCTGACACAGATGTGCAGGTTGGCAGATAATGCATTCTTTTTCTTTCTTTCTTTTTTTTTTTTTTTTTGAGACAGTTTTGCTCTGTTGCCCAGGCTGGAGTGCAGTGGCGCAATCTCAGCTCATTGCAACCTCTGCCTGCTGGGTTTAAGCGATTCTCCTGCCTCAGCCTCCTGAGTAGCTGACATTACAGGTGCCCACCACCGTGCCTGGCCAAGTTTTTTTTGTGTTTTTAGTAGGGACGGGGTTTCACCATGTTGACCAGGCTGGTTTTGAACTCCTAACGTCAAGTGATCCACCTGCCTCAGCCTCCCAAAGTGCTGGAATGAGTTGGGAGTGGAAGGTAGGAGAAAGGTCAATGTGACTTTTACCCCCACCCTCAGCGCCTCACTTCCTTCTGGTTTTCCAAGCCTATAGTACACCACTAATTTTGAGTTCTTGTATGGAATGGAATTCTAAACCACTTACTTCAGCTGCAGTTGTTTTCTTACCCTAGGGCCATAGAAAGTGGTTTGGAGTATAGTTTCTGCCTCTGTGAAGAGATTTTCTTGGTCTTCTCAACAAGGATAAATTTGTATTGATACCTAATATAGTTAGGCTGTTGTCCCCCTGTAGACACAGCTCGCACTCTGTATAATGGCTTCCTTTGCCCCTTACCAAGCACCACTACTGTTTACTTTAACATGCAGTATTAAATCATTAAGGTCAGCTTTAATGTGCTGTATGAAACTCACCATCGTAATTCAGTATCTGAAAAATATTGTTCTCTTCCAGTCTATAGCATTCCAATAACATTTTTAAAAGAATTTTTAAAGATTAGTTGAATCTAAAATTTATAAGGACAAAAATAAGGAAGATTATCCAGAAAAATTATTTAAAAGAATGAACATTTAAAAAAGGAAATAGACTGGGCGTGGTGGCTAACACCTGTAACCCCAACACTTTGGGAGGCCAAGGTGGGCGGATCACTTGAGGTCAGGGGTTTGAGACCATCCTGGCCAACATAATGAAACCCTATCTCTACTAAAAATAGAAAAAAAAATTAAGCCAGGAGTGGTGGCACATGCCTGTAATCCCAGCTACTCAGGAGGTGGAGGCGGGAGAATAGCTTGAATCTGGAAGGTAGAGGTTGCATAGAGCTGAGATTGTGCCACTGCACTCCAGCCTGGGCGACAGAGCGAGACTATGTCTCAAAAAATAAGTGAATAAATAAGATAAAAAACAAAAGAACTAGTTCTTCCAGATATTAAAAATGTATTCTGGCTGGGCAGCAGTGGCTTATGCCTGTAATCCCAGCACTTTGGGAGGCCGAGGCGGGTGGATCACGAGGAGGTCAGGAGTTAGAGACCAGCCTGGCCAACATGGTGAAAACCCCATCTCTACTAAAAATACAAAAATTAACCAGGCATGGTGGTGCATGCTTGTAATCCCAGCTACTTGGGAGGCTGAGGCAGGAGAATCACTAGAACCTGGGAGGTGGAGGTTGCAGTGAGCTGAGATCACGGCACTGCACTCCAGCCTGGGCGACAGAGCAAGACTCTGTCTCAAAAAAAAGAAAAAATGTATTCTAAAATTATAGTAATTAAGACATTATGATTCTGGTAGATAGATCAGTGGTACAGAATTTAAAAAGTCCCAAATTCATATGGAAATTTAGAATATAATGAAAGCATATATCAGATCAGTGGAGAAAATTATTTTTTTTCTTTCTGGCAATATGATAGCTGGGTAGCCATCAGAAAAAATCAGATCCTTATCTTCAGAGGAAGAAAATAGATTTTTTCTTCTTTATATTCTTGGAGTTAGGGAAGCCTTCTTAGAAAATGTTTTTTTAAAGAAATGTAGGTGTGCTAATGCCTTATTAGAGGGAGTATAAGTTGGCACATTCCTTTAGGAGATTGGAAAATATCTGCCAAAATTTAAAATGCCTACTGAACGTTTAAATGTACATGCTCTTTAATACATCAATTTCACTTCTTGGAATTTATCTTATGGTTAAATTCTGTAGCTTTTGGGTTTAGTTCATCATATTCTCACTTGTGTGAATATAAAGGGTTAGTCTTTGCAGTAAAATATTAGAAACAACTCAACTTCTGTCTGTGAAAGACGACCTATATCAGTAAGATAAAAATGCAGCCCTTAAAACTTAAAAGAGGCAGTTTTTTAAAAGTTACTGATATTAGCTGGGTGTAGTGGCACATGCTGATTGTCCTAGTTATTTGGGAGGCTGATAGGGAAGGATTGTTTGAACTCAGG